GTCCTCCGCCTCCGCGACGGAGCCGACGCCGTCGAAATCCTCGGCCTCGGAATCGCCGATCGCCTCGAACAGCACGTATGCCGACGCGTCGAACAGCGGCCTCATCCCCTCCGCCATTGCCGGTGCCAAAATTGCAGCTCGCGAAGCCAATCAGAAGCAGAAATTACAGATGTATGGAGACATACGTACAAATGAATATATATATATATATATATATCATGTATAATTATGAAATTTTTAGGTGTAAAAATTGAAAGGAAAAAGGTAGAAAAAGGTAGGCTGTGTGTTTTGACACTAGGCTGGCTTGTTTGTTGTTTATCATTAGGTCCTAAACTAGCAAATTCATTACCTAATTAGCATGTTTAGTTAAAAACTAATTTGATTTTTTTAACCAAAATACTAATTATGAAAAAAAAAAGTACCATTTTCTAGAAGAGATGATTAAAAAAGGATAAAACATATAGTGATATAAATTTTCGTTATTTACATTTTCTCTTTGGTACGAGAAAGGAGGCTACACCAAGCCTAAACTAGAACTGACCGAGGATGAGAGACGTTCATCCTATCATGATGCAACCATACACACGCCCCTGGCAGAGGACGGTCAAGCCGTTGAAACCCACCTGAACATTTAGCCGCTAACGACGCTAAGTAATCCGCCACAAAGTTGACAAATTGACAACATATTTATTTGACAAGTTGACAATTTATTTATTATTAAAACGTTAATTTTGAAAAAGATTAAAAGAATGTCATTTCAATAAATAATTGCGTTTAAATAAATAAATTCACACAATTTATTTAATAAACATTGCGTCAGTTGAAAATTGTGTGAATTGCTGTCGGGTTTTTAGACATGGTGTTGTGTGCTTCTAGAAGGTTTGCCTACGTAGGATCTAACTTTACGGCACACGATTTATCCTATGCTTCTAGAAGAAAAATTATTAGGAGACTGTTTGACCTAATTCCATTATTCTAATTAATGGAATTAATGGAGAGCTTTACAAGTGGGGAGCTCTGAATACAATAACACAGTACTCTCTCATATTCATAATAAATGTCGTTTTGAAAAGTTACATTTATTAATAATATTTTTTTTTATCAATAATAACTCTCATTGATGAGGACATAGATTAATGTTTTGAGAAAAAAATAAAGAATTAATATGAAAAGACGTAGTGTGTTTATTAACTAGATGAGGGTAATAATAGAAAAATATGTACAAAATATCCAAAATGACATTATTTTGTTAATAGTTGATAATGCCAAAATGACATTTAAAAAGAATAGAAGGTGTATAAACATATTGTAGTTAATATTATTGGGGATCCATTTTTTGCACATCACAAAATCTAATTTCAACGTAAATAATCCAATGCTGAAATTAATTTTCGTATACCATTTTCGTATACCAATAGAAGTTCTTTGTACTGTTAATTTTCGTCTCGTTTTCTCATTGAATCATCTCCCGAATTCCACATTATGATAACATTATCCATCGACCCAAACTCGAACTTAAACGCTCGTATAATGAACTTCGATTTGACCTCAATGTTTAGCAGATCGAATCACATTTGAATTTAGATCCTAAATCAAACACTAGTCCAAGTTGATCTAACTTGCTATATCCATCATGTCATGCAATTTCTTTTACTGTATTATATTTATTAATTTGAACTTGGAGGATGGGTACAATAGTTGAACAAAATTACTTAGAACATGCTTGGATACATTATACTCAGGGTTATCAACATAATTAAATAATATTAATTAATTATTTTTACGCATCACATTAACTTTAATTCACTATTAATCAACTCACATAATTTTTAATTAACATACACTTCACTTCATATCTCTTCTATTTTTACATTAACTTTACTTTATTTTATTTTAAAATAAGTACAAAAACTCGCTAACAATTATTATATCATATTTTTAAAATTAACTTTGATTAACTAAAACAGTATTAAACAAATATACTTGTATCGAAACACAGACATTAAAATGCCTAATGTTATTGATAAATTGAAGTCAAAAGCAAAGACTAATGAAAAACAGAATTCAGGTGTGGGCCCGAAAACCGAAATTCGCGGCGCCACCAAAATGCACAATTAAAGCGTGTCACTTAATAATTAATAATATTATAAATACTATAAATTGTCTCTTTTGACTTGCAAGAGTGCGTAATTTGTGTCGTATGGTACACTTTATCTGGCTATTATTATTATTATTATTATTATTATTATTATTATTATTATTATTATTATTATTATTGATTGATTGATTTTTAAATATTTTATTATTTATTTGGCAACATCACTCAATGATAACGCAAATAATTAGGCGTGCTAGGGGTGACAAGACCTTTTGTGAAATACATTCCTAAAAGCGTGTGTGAAGTAAGGAGGTAGAACATTTCTTTTTTTTTTTTTTTTTTAAATGGGACATGTATCCTATTTCTATTGGGCAATAAAATTCATATATCATATTATATAAATTAAATTATCATTCATATTTTGTATCAGAAAATAAAAATAAAAACACCAAAATTTATAATTTTTCATTCTCCACAAATAGAGACCACATTTGATATTTTTTTAAACAGAATTAATTATTCATTTTATACAATTAATTTATCTTATTGGAAGATTATGACATAAATCTATAATTAGATGAATAGGTTACATAGTAAGATGAACATGTTATAGAGTAAGATGAACATGTCATAGAATAAGATGAAAATGTTACATTTTCACAGATGAAATTTAGATGAACATGTTCTAAAATAAGATAAACGTGTTACATAATAAAATGAACATGTTATAGAATAAGATGAACATGTTACATACACAATAAGGTAAACATGTTACATAATAACATGAACATGTTATAGAATAAGATGAACATGTTACATACACAATAAGGTGAACATGTTATAAAATAAGATGAATATGTATTATTTTATTTTGCAATCTGCAACATGTTCATCATATTTGAAAACATATTCATTTTATTATGTAACATGTTCATTATATGTCAGTATAATAAAATAATTACGAAAAAACAAAAAATTAGTTTTGTTCAAAAACCTATCAAATGTGGTCTCTATTTATAGATAATGAAAAATTATGAATTTTGGTATTTTTATTTTATTTTTTAATATAAATAATTAATGATATTTTAGTTTATGTAATATGTCTCATTTTTCAATTAAAAAAGGAAAAATAGAAATGTGCACTACACTCTCCAAATTTTCTTGTTTTTGGGGTGAGGAAGACGCGTGCAAAACTGCCCTAACACACCTAGCTAAGTGTGCCAGGGCACACGGTAGTGCTAATGCAATGATAAGAGTGGCACAGCCGAAAGAAACTACATAAATAAAGAAAAAAAGAGAGTCAAACTTCTTCAGCTACCAATTAAAAATTGGTACAATTTTTTTCAGAAGGGCAATTGGATATAAATAATGGGAGATGCTATCAGTCCGTTACGAAACATTCCGTCGAAATTTGTAATCATTAGATCATCATGCAACTGTAGGAGATAGTTAATCTAACAATTATAAACTCCGACGGAATAATTCCGTAACGGGACCGTAACATTTTCCATAAATCATAATCGACTCTCATTGGAGTTTGAGTTAACATGGGCCAATTTTAAATAAAATTGATAGAATTGAGGATTGAATGACAGTTTGAGTTTGCACTTTAAGACTATGTTTGGTAAAACTAGCTGAGAAGCTAGTTGATAGCTGATAAGCTAGCTTATAGCTTATATGTAATTTTCGAGCTTATAGCTTATAGCTTATGACTTATAGCTGAAAAGCTAGCTTATATGATAAAAGTGTTTGGTAAAATTAGCTGATAAGCTAGCTGGAATAAAAAATTCAACTAGCTTATTTGAAAAGCTACCTAAACAAGCTTATCAAATAAGCTCGAACTTTTTAAATAAGCTCGTCCTACCAAACAAGGCTTATTTGAATACATGAAACTTATAAGCTAACCAAATAAGCTATAAGCTAGCTTATTTGGTTTACCAAACATAGCTTAAATATATTTCAAATATAATGATTAAAGTTAATGTGGTGTAAAAATAGAAAAAAGGTGATACGAAATGATAGACAGTTAAAAATATATGAATAGATGGATAGTAACTTAAGGTTAATTTGATATATGAAAATGATTGATTGATTAATATTATATTATTATTTAATTATATTGATAATACTGAATATATGAAAGTTGAGTTGAATTAAATTTGAGTTAAATTCAGATTAAAGAGTAAAAAAAATTATACAATGAGTCAAAATCGGTTTTAATCTGTAGCCCCCTTAGAAGTGCAGTTAAAATATTGTCAAAACAAAGAATTATTATATTTCAATGTAGCACCCTAATATGACAATATGTGCATGATAGAACGATAGAACAACTGCTTAGTTCGAAAGCCCGAACAAACGTGTCGAATCTAGAAATTACCTGAACGAGAGCAAGCGAAGATACATGTGACTTTTCGGAATCTCAAACTGCTGCGTGAAAAAAAAAAAAAAAAGATGCCTTTTTGTGTCCCTTCCTAGCGTGCGATAGCCTGCAACACTCGGAAAAACTGAAATAGGTGCACTCGTATCATTGCAAATAATATTCAGATCCTAAACAACAATTTCATATGCCACACAAACAAGGCCAAACCCGATAACAAATGCACTGAAAAAACTAAAAAAATGAGCATTGAGTTTGTATGGGAGCAAAAATGACCCATCATCTGAAGTCTGAACTCATTCTTCACTATGTTGTCTCAGATGACAATAATAGAAGTTCTCTTCCTAGTTTAACTAATGTCAACTTAAAAAAGGAAGCAAGCTAAAAGAACTTTAAATAAGAACATACTCTATTGACTTCGAGGATGATGGAAAAAATAATTTTCATGAATTGGCAGAAAATTGTAGCAGAAAAAAAAAAGGTTTAATGATAAAAAAAATCAAATAAACTAATAATCACCGTTTACGAGCATCCATGTTACAAACTAAAAGTTCAGTGTGAGAAAATCAATGAAGAAATACAAGTTACAGGGACATTTTAGTCCACAAGAATGGAATACTGCACATGCTTGTTGAATATCTCAGATCCACCTCATTCCCATTCGCTCAAACTGCAGATTCTTTTCCCACATTTGAGATGCGTGTGAATGTTGGTGTTCGAGAAAATCTCATATCCATAACTTACCTTTAAAGTTGATAAGGTCTGTTCTGTTTTTTATTATCTCTTTTAAGCTGAACCTTCAATTTTTTACCACCTATTTGAAAGCCATTCATCACGTTTATCGCGTTTTGTGCCGCCAAAGGTGAATCATAACTGACGAACCCTGGAGACATAACGATTAAAAAGATCAAACATTGTGCACAAAATTGTGCAGGATAAAGAGAAAAAAACTCAGCTGAGATATATTACCGAAACATTTGCTAATGCCAGTTATTTTGTCGATGAAAACCTTGGCACTCAAAACCCTTCCAAACCGCTGAAATGCATTTGCGAGCTCGTCATCACCAAATTCTTGAGGAATGTGGTAGATAAACAAATTAGCTCCAGGTGGACCTGCTTCAAGAGAGAATTGACCAAACATATGCTATGTCAAATGTCAATTACCAAAAGTACTCAGCATTTTTTCACAATTCTACCCCTCATCCCTCAACAAATTTGAAATTTAAATACAAATCTTCAAACTTTGTCCGATTTTCCGTCCCTTGGATACCCATTTTCACATTTCTCTCCACAACATGCGTTCGGTTCAAAACTAATATAATGAGATAAATAGAAGGAACTTTGGCATGTAAAAGAACACGATATATGCTGAAAGAATCCGACATACCAAAAAAGTTATCAGTCATTTATTGGGGAAAAAAAAAAGAAAAAAGTTTGAGAGGTTGATATTTTTTAGATGTTCAGTTAAAATTGTAAAAATGTTAAAAAAAAGGTACATTTTTTTTCCCAACAACCTTCAATCTGGCCCCCAGAACTTGTATTGACACTTGAAGATGCTGCAGATTGGCTATTTGCAGTAGATGGTGATAAAGGACCGGGTGAACTTCCAAATGGCCGGTTTCCCATGATTCTTCCAGGATAATTCATTGGAAATCGGAGCCCAGCTGGTATAGCTGGATATCCAGACATCGGAAAACTTCTTGAGGCCATTCCAGATGAAAGACCACGTAAAGCATTTCCTTGGTTTAGAGATGGAACAAGATTGTTAAATGCATTTTGGTTCTGCAATGGTGGTAGGCGATAATGCATGAGTCCATACGCCCCAGGGTTCTACAAGGGCGAACATAAATAGAGATATAGAGGTATTTTAGCATCAACTAGCAATTGCCATGGGAAAGAAAAAAAAAAAG